TTTTACTTCCGGCCACACTTTCTTGAGATATATTTCTTTTTTTAACTTGGTGGTGATGAGGGAGGTAGAGGAAGCAACTGAATCTGGTTTGAATATCTCTCAATTCAAATTGGCTGAATGTTATCAATACGGTTTCGGAATTGCAATAGATCTTGTTACAGCAGTAAAATGGTAGAAAAAAGCGTATGAAAATGGTCACGACCGAGCAGAAGAACTGATTGAATCTTTTGATTTTGAAAAAATATATTCATATTTTTTAGTAAATACCAATTTTTCTTTTTACATAAATTTTTTTAATCAAAACTTTCTGACTCTGCTGAGTTTGGAAACACGAAAAAGCTTTCTGTAAATCTCTATTAGTTCCTTCGCCGTGATAGCAACGGTAACAATTACCAAGATTGAATACTCCAGTGCTTTTAACCTTTGATAATTCTAAAAATAATTCAACTTCTTTTTTTCATCTCGTTGTGTTCCGATTCCATTTTGATAACTGAAACCAATAGTGCGCTGTATTAAGCATCTCCATTTTTAGCTAATTTCAAATGTCAATCAAGTGTTTCACTATCTTTTTTCTTTCTATTTTTCCAAATTGTTTAAAATGATCCAAAAGAATTCTTGAAGAACTATTCTTTTTGATATATTACTCTTCATAAATTAATAAATAAGCCTAGACTCATTGATTAATGAAGTTATCTGAGGTAAAATAATAATATTTAATTTTTATTTATTGATTTTATACAAAAAACATTACTTTATTGTGTTTCCATTTGCAGAGATGAGTTAAAGCGGAGTAGTCACGTGCAAATAGACTAATCCAATTGCAAAGGTCAGGTGTAACATACAAATTTGAATAATTCAATTGTAAGCTCATGTGTAACACACAAAATTCAAAACTAACGAAAATTGCGAAAATTGCAAATAACTCAAATAACTCAAAATTTTACTATAACAGCTAACTTTCAGCCTCTCAGTAAAAATGCTCAGCATGAGATTTTAGATATAGTTTAGTCTTTGAAAGCTAGCACCTTATGAAAATACTCCGCTTTAACCTTCCCCATTTGGAGCAATCACAGTTTCAGTTTGTCGAGGAATACTGTCGATCAAATTTCCGGGGGAAGATCATTTCAGGCTTGTCTAACATACTATTCGAGTTCTGGAAGATTAGATGGTGGTGGAGTACGACGACGAACTATAATTTTCATCTCTGCCCAAAGATTCTCAATGGGTTTCCAATCGGGACTTTGGGCAGATCACAGTAATATCGCAATTCCGGCTTCTTGACGTGCCTTTTGAACGGTGCGGTGTGGAGTGGCATTATCTTCTTAAAATTCCATTATCCTGCGAAAAATATTTATGATGTGTAATTTTATATAGCGCTTAATAGTTTTAGCACGTACACGTCCAATAACCGAGCCATGTAAAGGAATAATAGGTCCAAGTCCAAACCACAAAAAATATCCCCAAAACATCGTACTGGACTGTGTTCACAGTAACAGCAATACAGAATGGATGAAGTTCTTCATCTGGTTCACGCCACACTTTTCCATTACGTCCTTGTTGGAATTTTGTGAAAGTGCTTTCGTCGAAAAGAAAACTATTTTTTATGTCAATTTTTGTAAGTTTCAGCCATTCGAATCATCTCTTATGATGTGTTTCAGGCATTGCAGGTTTACAAGCTCCAAATCAATTTTTTTAAAGGTTATGTCGTATAGATTTTCCTATATTTTTGTAGCACAGAGCTGTGGTTATCACCTTCATCGTCTTGCATGAAATCCTTGAGTTCTTGACGAGTAAAAGTCAAAAGAGGTGGACGGTTTGCGTTTACGAAGCCGTTTAAGTAGCCGATTTTGCTCATTTGAATTGATTGTTTAAAGATTTCATTTTGGAACAAAATGTTTATGATATGGTGCATAACATCTAAAGTCATCAAACGTTTGTGTTTTATAAAATGTATAAACTTCTTTACTAAGAAGTAAATACAAAATTTAATCCGTGAATATGCTCAGAAAGAGCCTATTCTATCATATTCACGGATTAAATTTTGCATTTACTTCTTTGTAAAAAAGTTTATACATTTTGCAAAATACAAACGTTTGATGACTTTAGATGTTATGCACCATACATTTGGGGTGTTCACTAAATCAAATATACGTATTTATTGTCGATCATTTTTATTAATACCGATACTGTCACCAGCGGTCAAATTTCTCCAATTACGACTTTTTGGGGAATGAGTGACAGAAGACGAATTAGGAAGCACGCCAACGCCAGGTGTATTTGCCACAACAATGCTGTTTTCTTAATTCGGTAGATTTTACAGCAGCAAATTCCCATCCCGAGTAACAACAATGTGGTGGGTAGATTTTACAGCATAGCAACCACAAATTCTCATCACGATTGTCAACAATGTGATCTCCTTTTTCGGAAGCTTTTACAGAAAATTCCCATCATCGTGCTGACAAAACAATGAAGTTATTTTTTTGGTATATAGCACAAATCTTCTCAATTTCAGCACCTTTTTCATCAATTTGCAGCATTTGTCATTACCTTACAGCATCCTTCTTGCATCTTCTCATTTACAGCATCTTCTCATCGGATGTACAGTATTTTCTTATCAATTTACAGCATCTCATCAAATTTCAATTTGTTTTCATCAATTTCTTTATTAGAGAAACACAACGCCTCTTAGTTAGTATAACACTTCTTACAGACATTATAATTGCTATAGTTATTATTGTAATGATTTATAAAAGATTGTAATGACAAAAAAATATATAAAAGAATGGTCTTCAGATTACTAATAAAGGCAGATTTGAAATTGCAATTCTTCTCCAAACAAAATCTTTTAAATAAATTATTACTTGTAAAACTCTTTCTTTTTCCCCACATTAAATATTATATTATTTGTTGATTAGATTCTTTGTACCAGAAAAGACATTGTTTTTGTGGAATTGTATTCATGTGAAATTATATTTTAATTGTGAAACTGTTTTTGTATGATTGTAATTAATATAAAGAAGTTGAGACTTTTAACTAGAAAAAGCAATAATTAAAATCCTCTCCTTCTGTTCAAAGAATATAAAGTTCCAAATATCTATCTGAAACACATAATTTCTCTCCAAAACCAACTTAATTAACAATATATGTAAATATCAGCACAGATTGAGATATCGGAATAAATATTGCTCAATCTATTGCTATTTGTTGTAATGGAAATTTCTCCAACTTCGCTCAACAAAATGAAACTGTATCAATATATGTGATATTGATTTATAGTAATACAAATATAATTGTTCATTTGATTAATATTTTTATATGTTATTCTCAAAGAATTTAAATAGTAACTTCTTTTCAGTCTCTATAATAAAATTCAAAAACTTATAAAATAAGTCTATATTTTGATTTTTTAGTTTTAAGCATTATAATTTATTTAATCATAGGATTTTTGTTATTTTATAATTATAAATAAAATATTACTTGAAAGTATATATAACAGATTTTCAAAATATAACTATAAAGAACAAGTAAATAGAAACCTTTTTCATATTTTAAAACAAAAAATTGATCAATAAGTTAATATTTAATGTTTATGATTATATGAAACAAATACCAAAATTAGCAAAAAAAGATTAATTATATAAAAATTGGCAACAAGCAAATATTTGCAAAATAAATAAAGTACTTGAAACTATTAATGTTGAGCAACTTTTAGATTTATGTGAATTGTTTTGTTAAATAGGCCGTACCAATAAGTTCTATTGTGTTATATTAATTAAATTGATTTTGGATTATTCCCTTTTTTTATTATATTATCATTTTCGCCCCCTTACCTTTTTTCAACGTCGATTTGTGTATAAGTCGCCGCAGGATGCCTTTAGAACGCCAAAGAGACCCTTTGTTCGTAGATAATTCAGTCTGTCTAGCTCTCACCCCAGTTGCGTAAAAACCCCCCTTTGACCGATTAAAATAGTAGCACGCAACAGTGCTATAATCGTGGGTATTATTAACTGAACAATTTTTGCAGTACTGTAATTCCATTTTTGATATGCGTAACATTCAATACAATTAAGAGATAAACAATGATTTATATGTATCGCAGTCGTTTATTATGTATTTGTTTATAGAACATCTTTTTGTGAATTAAAAGAGGTCGGGCATGCGCATGATTGATGTATGTTGTTGATGCAATGTTTCATTTCTATGTGAATTTTTACGCACAATATGAGTAATGAACGTTAAGTTCTACCTCTTTAATGAATGTAGTATTAAGTTGCTATCGCCATTCTATAATATATTTAACACTATTCTACAGATGGTGGCCAAAATTATGCGAACATGTTATTTTTGATTAATTCGGTCAAAATATGGTAAGATTTACATGTTTTCAAAAGCATTAAAGTGAAGGTGAAAAAAAGGGCAGATCATCACTAGTCGTAAATGAAAAACAACCACAATTCAGAAATTATTTAGTGACCATTTAATCGATAAATGGTTGCCAAATGGTTGCTAAATAATTACTGAATTGTGGTAGTTTTTTTCATTTACGACTAGTGCATGTAATCCCGATCCCGATACCGACCATCCGATATCCCCTTAAATTTATGCACCAATCTAATCACAAGATCAATGTGCAACGCAAAAACGTTCCTTACGAAATTATGCATTATAATTTAGGGGGATATCGGCATGGGGATCGGAATCACATGATTTGCCCTTTTTTCCCTTCACTTTGTTACAGTCAACTCTCGATATAGTGAACTTTAAGGACTAATTAAACTCTCGATATAGTGAAGTTGAGCTCAAAAAGTATATTAAATCCTCTCGATATAGTGAATTAGTAATAAACTCTCGATATAGTGAATTTTTGAATACCTTCACTATAACGAGGTTTAACTGTATTAGGTTTTCAATAAAAAATACAATATTAATAGTTTTTGATAAGACTATCAGACCAATTATATTCAATTTATAAGTAATGATCTGCAAAATTTACAGTACATGTATAGAACTTTGCTAATCATCTTTTATACATAAACAGGACTTATTGATACGGCCTGCACAAAAGAAAAATAATAATATCAAGAAATACAATCGACAGCTTATTTAGAGTGGAGGAGCATCCACTACTTGCAATTACTCACAAGGTTTGAAGTTTGACCAATAGAATAAAATAATAGTGTATTCATAAGTAGTATTACTATTACGAGTAAGAACTTTGTTATTTTATTAGATCAAAGCATGTCTTTCACAGACTCATTACACTTCTTCTATTTATACAGTTTTTTAGGTGTTATCAAAATGGTGTTGGAACACAACGAGATGATAAAATCGCATTTGAATTGTTTTTGAGATTATTAGAGGATGAAAGGATTGATGTATTCGAACTTGGTTGATGGTATTAATACAGCGAGGGAACTAATAGAGATTTGCAGAAAGCATTTTCGTGTTTTCAGAAATCAGCAGAGTCAGGGAATTTTGATACTCAATATGCTCAGCATTTTCCTGCTGAATGCTACTTTCAAGGAAATGGAACAAATAGAAATGAGAAAAAAGCATTTGAATGGTATTTAAGATCTGCTGAAACTGGGTTGAATATCTCTCAATTCAAATTGGCTGAATGTTATCAATACGGGTTCGGAATTCCAGTAGACCTTGACATGGCATTAAAATGGTATCAAAAAGCGCATGAGAATGATCATGATTGAGCAGGGGAGTTGGTTGAATCGTTTGATTTTGAAAAAATATATTCGCATTTTTAAATTTCTTCATGTTTAATTTTTGTAAATTCGAATTTTCCTGTATTTTTTACCAACAAATTTATGAGAAACAACTTAGCGTATCAACTTTGCATGCTCAATAGATAAATTCAATTAGTACGTAATTGGTAAATATTTAATCCGAAATCCGCTTATTCAAACTTCATAACCATTCTTTTGCAAAATAATTATTTATAAATAATCGATTATTCTTTTTGCAATTCGTAAGATTAATACTTTTCTACACACAAAAATAAAATACAAAATTGTTCTAGTCTTCAGTCCACACCTAAACTCTCGTAACTTCTCAAAAGCTGATTTCCGGAAAAGTCTACGACAACTGCTCAAGATTTGTGCATTCGACAAGTGGGTGATTTCTAAATCTAGAGCTGATTATGAGTTGCGCATTACGAAAATAAAGTAATATTCCAAATGAATAAAATCTTTCAGCAAACATGGTAGATCACATTACATATTTTTGCAATATCCAAAAACAGGCAAATTTATTTTAGACTTGGATTCTTATTATGAATTACGTATTAGATTTTTCTTTGAAAAAGTATAGATTAACAAGTTTTATGAGAGAACTTGATGAGAAGATGGAATCGCAAAAAAGTATTCATACGAATACAAACAAAAAACAATGAATTCACTCAAATGCAACCAGTTGAATCTTTACTAGGACCGTTACGTTTAAAATAGTCTGTTTTAAAATAATGTCCTATAAGCATGTAAAATGCATGTAAAATATACAGTAATCACAAGGAAGAGTATGTAGACACGCAAAACGTAACAAATTCCGTATACATAAACTTGTTTCTGGCACAGTTTCTTGATACATAACTACACAATTTCGTATCAACAAACCCGTGCCCGAAACGTGTTTATTTATATGGAATTTTACATGCCTACGTACCCTTTCTTGCAATTTCCGTGTGCTTTCCATGCATGCTTGCCTTTTTTTACAGGGATGTTTTTAATGTTTTAAAACATTAATATAATAATGTAGCAATAAAATATAATGTAGAAATAACATATAATTGCTTCGAAATATATAATAAACGTCACAATAACGTGGCAAATAATAATAATATATTAA